AGGTAAAAAAGACGTGCACTTCTTCCCGCAGTGTCACTGGGCAAAGTAACCTGCTGGATCTCACCAGCAACAAACAAGCACTGCCTTAGCTCGCCAACAAAGGCGTCATCGGTCAATGCTAGCCAGCTGGACAGCACTTCCAGAAAGCGGTGGAACTCCTCAAGCTCGCGGATCCGGCCTTGCTTCATCTCACCAGCATTGATGAGAGGCAGGGGTGGCAGATACTTCTCTGCACGACCACCAAAACTCGAAAAGCTTCCAGAACTCGCAGCAGGCCCACTCGGAGGGGCAACAAGCGACCCAGTAGGCGCCGTCGGCGCTGCTCCAGAACTGCTAGCAGCCACTGCAGCTGCAAAGGGGTCCGAAGACACCTTTCGCCGATCCTCGTCGGCTTTCCGTCTGGCTTCTTCCTCGTCCAAACGGCGGTTCAAGAGGGTCAACTGAGCACTCTGAGCTTGCATCAGAAAGTTCATCTGATTCTGCTGTTGCTGTAAAGCCGTGTTCTGGTTGTTCAGCATCTGCAACATCAACTGCTGCAGTTGTTCACCTCCCAACGCAGGGTTCGGAGGAACCGGACAGCGACCGACAGACAGACAACTTTTCCCCACTCCTACCGTTCACAACTACACCTAATGTTCTCTAAAACTCACAAAGGAGAAAACAGAAAGTGTTCCTGACCTTGCCGAGACACAGGGACACCATTATAAGATTGAAAAATCAACTACGGTGTGTGCAAATTATTCGGTTGGAGCCAAACGCACCGGTAGACCAAGCAAGAGAGTATCTCGATCTGGGTTACGGCCATTTCTGGCCGACTTGAATCGCAACGACTCGGACACCGACAGACCTAAAGGCAAATTGAACTTTTGGACTTTAGTGTGCTCGACGGAACAAAGGGGGCTGCCCGGTGTCTCAGGCTAGAACGGCGGCTGGAGCTTGGTCCACCTGTTGCTTTGGACCGCTCAGAGCGAGGCTCTTTGTGCTTCTGATCGGTTGCTAAGGTTCTGTAGATTGTGAAAATCCCATTTGACCTTGGATGTCCTGATGTTTTCGGCATGCCTGAAGCTGTGAGGAGTGCTTTTGATTTAGGAAGTGACTGCACGTTCGTTTCGTCTCGTTTCGTTAGTGCTTGAAGTGTTTTGCTTGGAGACAGACAGCTGCAAGGTGTTTCACTGTCAGTCAGAGCCCGACGCGACTCCGCTTTGGCTCAAGAAAAAGACCGAGTGCTGCGCGCTCTGTTTTTCACATGGTAGCGGAGCTCCTGAGGACTTAGAAGGAGCTTTACAGCGCCATGGCCTCGCCCTTGCCAGGTGGGAGTAGTGAGACTCCTGCTCAGAACGTCCCTGTGCCTGAGGAAGGCATGGACTTCGACCTGTTTGGACCAGGACCCGTGGGACCTGTAGGACCGGTGAACAGTCCTGTTGGGTCGCCGACAGCTCAGCAAGCAGCAGCGGCTGCACCTGCGAGTGGTTCTGCAACAGTGCCAGAAGGTGTTAGTGGTCCGGCTGTAGCGCCGGCAGCTCCTGCTCAGGCTCACGCTTCCTGTCTCACCTTGCGGTGAAAGTGATCATTACCAGAAGCGTGTCCAACCGGAGCTTTCCTCACGAGTTTTCACGAACAACGGTGTTTCCCTGAAGCATGATGAACATCAGAGTGTTTTCAGTTTGTTTGCTGTGAGAACGGACTTCTAGACGAAGTCCGGGGAGCACCTGGGCGATAGAACAGAGTTACCAGTGCAGAGAAGCCGTTAGGAGTCCTTAGGACTTGCCGCGGAAGTGAGTGTGCTGAATTCTCTGTCTGCGCCCCGTTTCACTTTGGCTCAAGACTTGCACTGCGTGACAAGGTGAACAGTTGGTTGCGAGGAAAGGTGTAAAAGTGCGTTAGCTTTACTGTGGCCTCGTGTGGCGTAGTCAGTCAGTCGGCTTGCACCTTTTACTAAACCTAGAAGTGTGCCTCAAGGCGCGTTTGGGTTTTAACGTGGTGGCGGAGCTCAAGGTTGCTCCTCAGAGCCATGGACCCACGAGCCTAGCCGCGACCGTTCCCCAAGAGGACGGAGTTCAGGGCGAAGTGCTAGTCGTGCCAGTGGAGTTTCTTCTGGCTTTCCTTCAACCCCTCGAGAGTTGAGTGCACCTGGCTCGCGGACTCGTGAAAGGTCCCTCCCTGCTCGGAACAGTCCGACAGCACACCGGCCTGTGAGTAGACCCAGACCTCTTGCGAGTGCAGGTCAAGTGCCTCAGGTGCCTTTTCCACAGGTGTCTCAACAGGTTCCTTTGCAGCAGGGTTTTCAGCAGCAGCAGCAGCCTCAGTTTGGAATGCAACCGACTTTCCCTCACGGAGGAGGGAATCCGCAGCAGGCATCTGTGCCTAGTCCAGAAGACAACACTGTCAACCTTTTCAGGCAGATGTTGCAAGCCCAGGATGAACAGATCCGAGCTCAGCAGGGACAGATTTCGCAGCTCACCGAGATGGTGAAGACGCTCGCCGTTGCGACTGCAAACGCTGCAAGTTCGGCCGCAAGTGCAGCTCCTGTTGCTGCAAGTTCGTCCCAAGGGACGCCCGCTGAAGCTCTTGGAAGCCTGGGTGCCATCAGAGTTGGATCTGATGGTGTTGTGAATATGGATGTGGACACAGGCTTGCGCAGCAACAGGGCGGAGAACTACATTCCGTCCCTGCCAAAGTTGGCAGCAGACAAGATGAGATCGCGCCATGAGGAAATCTCCACATGGACCGCTTACCGTGAAGAACTGACCTCCTGGCTGTGTCTTTTAGATGACCGCTACGCGGAGGAACTGCAAGAGGCTGTGGAGAGCGGTGTTCAGGTTCAACAGATCAGCCTCGCAAAGGGGAAGGCCGCTCGTTCCACTAAGCTGTGGTACCTCTTGAAGCAGGCTCTCGCTGGTTTTCAGCGAGGAGTTGACATAGCCAAGCTTGTCGAGTTGAGTCAAGGCGGTGCCGCTGCAGGGTACGACCTCTGGCGTGAGTTGAACAAGGAACTGTCTGTTAGGTCTCGTGTTGAGGGACAGGCGCTCAGAGAGCAGGCTCTCTTGATCGCGCCACCAAAGCACTTGAGACGGCCATTGGATATTTTTCGCCATATGATTTCTGATTTTGCTCGCTACCGCACGCTCGTTGCCAGCAAGTACCCAGACCTTGAACTGCAGCAGGCTGATGTTATCAGCTGCATCTTGAAGCACCTTCATGATGATTGCAAGAAGTACCTTTTGTTGCATGGGTCTTTGACAACCTTGGAGCAGCTTGAGCGCGGTTTGGTTTTCTATGATGAGCAGCTTCGTGTTTTGAACTTTCACAAGGAAGCCTCGAACGCCAAGGGCTTTGCAGCTTTTGGTGCTGATCGTTCTGAGAAGGGTGAGCCCAAGGGTGGCGAGCCCAAAGGAAAAGGTCACGGGAAGGACCAAGGCAAGCATGGTGATAAAGGCAAAGGCAAGGACAAAGGAGGAAAGGGAAAGGACAAAGGCAAGGGTGGCAAGAAGGGCGGAAGGGCCCGATCTTCGACGCCGGCTCCTGGGAAGAAGAAGCCGGGCACCTGCAATTACTGCCACAAGCCGGGCCATTGGGCCAACGAGTGCAGGAAGAGGACTGCCGATGAGAAGGCTGCTGCGACAGCAGCGGCGGCAACAGAGAGTGCTGCTCCCAAGGTGGCCCCTCCTGCACCTCCCTCGACTGCTGCGCCAGCTCCCACTGCTCCAAAGGGTGCCGGGAAGATTGGCAAAGCGGCCCTCCTTATGTCGTCATTGTTGCCCGCGGCAGGGCAGATTTCTGAAGCAATGCCTGAGAGGGGACAGTTTTTCACCATGACTGCCTTGATTTTCATGTTTTTCATGTTTTGCATGGTAGGATGCTTGATTTGTCGGTTGGTTGCATGCTTGAGTAGCCCACGGCAGTCATGTTTCACGTATGCTTGCGTAGCCGTAGCAGTGGTTGCTTTGAGCCTTGCTTCCGCGCCGCAGCCTCAGCTTCGGGATCGGTCTTCAGAGTGCCTCGCTTTTCCAACTTTGGCACTTCCTGCAGTCACTAGGGACGACCCCTCGTATCTCCTGATTGATAGCGGTGGGAGTGTTCACCTTGTTTCGCAAGACATGCTTGGAGTGACTGCGAAGCTGATCCGTGAGCTTGAGGTTGAGCCTCTCTTTGTAAGTGTCGCAAACGACCAGACTATGGAGATAACTAGGTATGGGTTGCTAGAGCTTTGGTTCCCTTGTTTCGAAGCGGGGCCCTCTGGAACCCAAGCTTACAGAGAGATTCGAGTGCAGCTGGAAGCGTATATTGCCCCCAATTCGATAAGCATCCTTAGCTCAGGCATCTTGCAGTCTTTAGGCTTTAGGATCTTTCATTATGACTATGATCCTCAGTTACATGTTGCCTATCCTCCGGGTGGTCTGCGCTTTGAGACAGAATTGTATGCCAACACGTCGTGGCTGAAAGCTTGTACCTACGTTGAGCCTGATTCTACTGATGGTTCCGTGCAGTCGGTTGAGAAGGGAAGCGTGAGTTCTGTTGTCCCGTCTCACCCTGTAGGTGTAGGAGTAGGGCTTGAAACCGTAGGAGCGTGTGTTGGTCGGTCGGTCGCTTCGTCTCACCTAGCCCACTCTTGCTCTGAAGGCCCAGTAGAACCTGTAAGGGACGATGGCTGGGTCCGACCGCGAGATGGACCTCGAGATGGAGGACTCTGTGTTCCGGGTGATAAACCTGCCCCCGGAGGGCACCGAGCTTTCGGATGCAGTTCGGGCTCCCAGCCCGACGACGTCAGTGGAATTATCTCCGAGAGTTTCGGAGAGCGCTGTTCCAGAAGCCCCGGCATCTCCAACGAGCTTCGCTGCGAGCCTCTTTGCGGAGTTCCAGAACTCACCGGTGACGCCTCCGGAGGAGATCGCCATCCCGGGCGCAGGAGTGGAGCCAGAGGGCCGCCAAAGCAAGGCGGGAGCTCGTTCGCTGGCTCGCCAGGACAGCCCAGACTCTCCAGTGGAGCAGGGCACCTACGCATGGCGAGGGAGAGTGGCTCCAATTGGGCCCCCGGCTCCAATGCCGACTTCTTCGAGTGCTTTTGTGGCGGTGGAGAGCATCCGGGATCAGGTTGCTTCGGAGAGCGACGACGAGAACTGGGGGAATTGGAAGCCGACCGAGGGCTCCCAAACTATGGCCGCCAGCTCGCACGAGGACGTGATGGTGGACAGAATAAGCCAACTGGTGGGCTTTGGGGGGAAGGCCTCTGCGAGGCGACAGAAGCTGGTGGCCACGGCGCGTGGGATGCAGCAGCCAATTACGCCTCCCAAGACAACCACCAGCGCTCCAGTGACACCTCCGAAGGCAATGCCAGCCTCTACTCCAAAGACTCCACCAAAGAGTCCGCCAAAGAGTCCGCCAAAGGCCGCGCCAGCGCCGCCCAACATCTGGACAGCACCACCCCCACCCAGGGCCGCTCCGAAGGCTGCCGCTCCAAAGGTTCCAAAAGCAGCGGTTCCAAAGCCGCCGAAGGGTCCGAAAGCAGCGATTCCAAAGCCGCCGAAGGGCACGACTACAACAACGCCGGCTCCTTTGACAACGCCGGCCCCTGTGGCAACGCCGGCCCCTGTGGCAACGCCTGCCCCTGTGGCAACGCCGGCCCCTGTGGCAACGCCGGCTCTTGTGGCAACGCCGGCTCCTGTGGCATCGCCGGCCCCTGTGGCAAAGCCGGTGGCAACAACAACACCTCCGGTGGCGACGGTGGATCCTGTGGTGCCGACGAGGCATATGCCCTTCTCGGCCATGGAAGGTGCCCGGATGGGGTTCTTGGGCCAGAGAGAAGTGACGGACTTTGCACAGGCCGCGGCTCGAGCAAAGGCCAGTGCTCAAGCAAAGGCCGCTTCGACAAGGATGCCGAGCCCTCCTCCGGCGCCCAAGGTGGAGAACACTCCTCCGCCGCCGTTGGTGCCTATGCAGGCGCCCGTGATCCTTATCCGCCGCCAATTCAGGTGTGGGCCAGGCCTACTTCGACACCGAGACCTACCTCTGTGCCGGTTCCGGCGGCACGACCAAGCTCGGCACCTACTGCGATGCCGACGGCACGGCCAAGCTCGGCTCCTACCACAGTACCCTTGCCAACGGCACGGCCTCTAGTCGTGGTGCCATTGCCGAAGAGGGTGCTGCTACCGGTGTCGAAAGGGGCACCCAAGGGTGTGCCGAAACCCCGGGCGGTGGTGGGCGTTCATTTTCACTACACCATCGAGATGCCCACGCCAGAGGAACGATTTGTGCCTCCTCCGGCACACCTCACAGCGAAGCCTGCGCCAATGGTGCCGGTTATCGACCTGGAGGAGTTCGAGACGATCTCCTCAGACGAGGATCTTTGATTGACTGCCGTCAGGTCTCTTCCGAGCCGCCCGCGAAAAGAACTGCTCGAAAGGTGGTTTCGCAGAGCGTTGCAGTAGGAGAGTTTGTGCATGTAGGTTGCCCAGCATGTTTGCAGGTAGGTTGCCCAGCGTGTTTGCAGGTAGGTCGTGCAGCTTGTGTTCCTTTAGGTCTTGCAGCTTGCGTGCCAGTAGGTAGCTCAGCGTGCATGTCGGTCGGTCGCCCATTGATTGATTCAGGTGATGTGGGTGGTGGCGTTGGTGTTGCAGAGCTAGATCAGCTTTTTGGTGATGATGGTGATGACCATGACGGGTTAGAGATAACAGCTCCTCAGAACACCAGGCCCCCTGTAGACCCCGAAGAAGCTCTCCCCGAGAACCTCGGTGCTGAAGCTAGATTGCGCCACCAACGTCAGGGGCACATCCCCTATTGGGGTGGCTGTCCTAGCTGTGTAAGATCTAAAGGGCTCTCACCCGCCCGAACACGCAAAAGTGTCGACCCACTTGAGGTGCAGATGGATCAATACTGGTATCGAGGCATCCGTTTGATCGCTGTGGTACACGTACCGACGTATTGTGTAGGCACAGCTGCTACCTATGCAGGAGATTACCGAAAAGTCACCGTGGGGAAGCTAGTCAAATTCCTCAAATCATTCGGTCTCAAAGAAGTTCATGTTGTACATGACGGGGAACCGCTTTTAGCAGCCATAGCAGCCGAGGTTGTTGAGGTTACAGGTGGGAGTTCGGTTTCTACCAAAACCTCTCCTAGCAGGCACGCCCCGGTAGCTGAGAGAGCAATCCGCACGCTTAAAGAAACCGCTTTGGCCAACGAGCTTCACGCCAAGGGCGTGAGTGGCTTGAAATTGTTGGCAAATGAGGAAGCGATGGAATTGCTTCACAGCCATGCGGCTGCTTCACACAACCGGTTCGGAACGTCACAGGGTCAACTGTTGAGTCCTTTGCAGCGAGCTTTGGGTGAGAGTCACACGCCTCACTTGTTGTTTTACGAACGATTTTCCTGTATTCGTTGGCATGGTTTTACATTGATTTCATCATGCATTTTACTTTCGCTCCTTTAGTCGTGCACATGGTGATTCCGATATACCTGAAGGCTTTTGTTGCTCGAGGATAGTGGAAAAGTTCGTATGGTAGCGGAGCCGCGGTACAGCCAGGATTTCTGGAATCTCCTGGTGCCGTGGTTCGGGGACTGGACCCAATCCCCAACACAGAGAGGTAGTGACAAGCAACAGCATCACGACACGTCTTTGGTTTCTGGGTTTTGCGTTGCGCGATCCGTTCAGGAGCCAAGGTCTTTGATTGTGCAACTTTAGGCGTTAAGCGCGGCGGGTAGCCTGCAGACGCCGGCTCACAAGCCAGGCTGTAGTGCCATGGCTCAGCAAGGTGCACAGGCTGCACATGTGCCGGTGGATGACATTGATGATGATCTGCCAGAGCTTGAAGCGGCTGTAGGCCCACAGCTTCCCCAGCCGATGCCCACTAATCCCTTCCTTGCAAGCCCAGCTGCCTCACCTCCCAAGGTCAGATAGTGTTAGGCCCTGCCCAGCTGAATGCTTTGTTTGAACAGTTGGCTGAAGCAACCCGTGCAGCATCAGATGCAGCAGCAGCAGCGGCAGCGGCGGCGACGTCCTCTCGGGACGGTCCGCCAACCTTGACTGGCAAGGACATGCTGCGTGTGTTGCCGAAGCCTGAGGTTTTTGCAGCTAGCACTAGAGAGCAGGAGCACACGTCTTGGCCAGGTTGGTTTTGGAGTTTTCAGCAGTATCTTTCAGCTCTTGATCCGGGCTATGGGCCCGACCTTGAAGCTTTGGAGGCGAACCCTGGTTCAGTGATAGCAAAGGGCCAGGGCACCATTGCACAGCAAGCCAGGTCACGTCAGCTGTATTCGCTTTTGGCTGCACTCATTCGTGGCAGAGGTTACATGATTGTGCGACAGACCGAGAGTGGAAACGGTTTGGAAGCTTTGCGTCAACTGATGAGTCTTTTTGCCCCGCGCTCTCAGGGGCGCAGCTTGGGCATCTTGACAGCGATCACCCAGGTGCCTTCTTTCAAGCCCTCCGAGGCCTTGCTTCCGCAGATTCTTGATTTAGAGCGGGTTTTCACTTCTTATGAACAGTCAGCTTCAGAGACCCTTCAGGGTAGCGTGAAAACTGCACTTCTTCTGCGATGTTTGCCTGCTAACACAAAGAATCAGATATATGCCAGCTTGCCTGAGGATGCTACTTACACTCAGGTGCGAGAGGCAAGCTTGAGGATCGAGCGTCAGCATTTCAAGTGGCAGTCTGTTTCTTACTTTGGGACGGTCCGCGAGGCCACAGCTCAGAGGCATGATGAGGCAACGCAGATGGAAATTGATGCCGTGCAGTGGGGCAAACCTAAGGGCAAAGGTGGCAAACCGCAAGGCAAGGACAAAGGCAAAGGCAAAGGCGGCAAGAAAGGTCAGCATGCCCAGACTCCCCATGGAGGCAAGCCGAAAAGTGGCAAAGGCAAGGATCAGGGCAAAGGTGGCAAGCAGTCCGGCAAGGACAAAAGCAAAGGCAAGGGCAAAGGCGACAAGTCACAGGTGGAGTGCTACAACTGCGGTCGTAAAGGCCATTATGCCGCAGAGTGTTGGCGCAGCAAAGGTCAGGCGAATGTGCATCAGGTTGTCAACAATCCGACTCCGTCGGAAGCTGCAGCATCCACCGTGGGGCCGTCAGCGTCCCAGGCAGCGTCCCAGGCCACCACAGCAGTGCGTCGCATTGAGATTGATTTGAGTGCAGTTGGCAGTGGCACAGGCAGCGGCAGTGGAGGCATTCACATGATCACCCAGGCGATGTCCGCGCCCAGACCGGACCCGGTGTTGCTCGAGCCATACCCGAGCGATGAGGTGCTACTCGAGCCGAACCCGAGTGAGGCGATGTCCGCGCCCAGACCGGACCCGGTGCTGCTCGAGCCCTACCCGAGCGAGGCGACGTCCGCGCCCGAACCGGACTTGGTGCTACTCGAGCCTTTCCCGAGTGAATTCATTGATCTTGTGCATGCCACACTCCCTGCCATGACTGTGCATGATTCTCTTGTGCGCAACTTTGAGCCAGCTGCCCCAATGTATGATATGAGCTACAGTGACAGCGATGGGGAATGGACGTTTGCGAATGGATCCTTGAGTGTTGTGACTTTTGCCCCAGAGCATCAGGTGTGTGCAATCCATCAGGACATCGAGATTGTGCTTGACAGTGGGGCCGATCACTCGTGCCTTCCTGCGGCCTTTGGTTCCACCGGGACCTCAGCGCCGCCATTGCAAGCAACGTTCCGTGATGCACAGGGGAATGTGATTTCTCCTACGTCGGTGCGAAATGCAAAGCTTGACCTTGGACCCTTGACCATAACGGAAACCTGGTTGATAGGCCCCGTGACTACCCCCTTGTTGAGCTTAGGCAAGCTTTACCGCCAAGGGTTTACGGTTGGCCGTGTGAACAATGAGCTGAAGCTTTTCCGTGAGGGAGATGAAGCCTATGGGGTCCCTGTGTTCATGAAGCACAACTCCCTGTGTGTCAGGGGTAGCATCAGAGTCATGCAGAGCGATGCACCGCAGGCGGGGCAGGCGGGGCATCCGCCAGCAAGCCCCAGTGAACATCATGCACCACAATCGCAAACCAGTTCTAGTGAACCTCATGCACCACAATCGCAGACCAGTTCTTGCGAACCTCATGCACCACAATCGCAGTCCAGTACACCTCAGGGCGATTTTCACGTGAATGCATTGACTGTGACATTGCATGGTCCTTGGTTGTCGCTTAAAGCGCCGTTTGTGCAGATTGACACAGGTCTGGTGGCAAACAAGTGCACAAGCCTGTGCTACGTTGATTGCACATTGGCTTTCCCCAGCCTGCCGATTGCTTTCAGGACCACATTGCACAACAGCCCGCGTGGCTGGCTTTTGCATACGCTGAACGAGGATCTGTCAACTTTGGATGATTTTGAGGTTAGGTTCGAGGCTGCATTTCCAAGGCCCAAGATGTATGAGACCATCACGATTGGTTCCACGTACCGGCTTGATGTTCGCCAGTTGTTCCCTGAGCACTCTGATCACCCGCTTGTGGCAGTGCCAGTGCCAGAGGAGTCAGACGGTGACCCGTCTCCCGATGCTGCCATGGACTTGGATGTCAACATTGATGCAGGCGGCGTTGGCTTGGGTGCCAACGAAGGAGATGCAGATGAAGGCGAGTCTCCCGGTGCAGCGGGTAACGCGCCCGGTGAGAAACCTGTTGTCGTTGATGGCACTGAGTTGACCCTTGATTGCACCCTCGCCACGTTGCGAGCCGCGGCACAGAGTCTTGGGATAGGTAAGTCGGGTGGTAAGGCGACAGTTCTTAAGAGGATCAAGGAGTTTCTTGCGCGAAACGATTTTCTTTGGGCCAACCTTCCGGCTGATGTGCAGCTGCCTCGTGAGCAGGCGCCGGTGCGAGAGCCATCCCAGGATGAAGTGCGCAAGCATTCGCTGACGCACATGCCATTCCAAGCATGGTGCGCTGAATGTGTTCAGCATCGTGCCCGTTCTGATAGACATGAGAGGCACCCTGTTGGCGACCGTGAGCATGCGACAATTTGTTTTGATTTTGCTTACACGAGTCGGCCTGAGACCCCTGAACAGAAGCTCGTGTGCCTAGTTGCGTCTTGCAATTTTACCGGTGCAAATCAAGCTTGGCCTGTTCCGGCCAAGGGCGGCAATCTGCAGCTCAGGTACATGACATCAGAGCTTACAAGGTGGATCGCGACTTTAGGCCACAGCGAGGTCACACTGCGCAGTGACCCAGAGCCGGTGTGTTTGTCGTTGCAAAAGCTTGTGCAAGCCCAGCGTCTTCGACTTGGATTGCGGACCCATCTTGAGCAGAGTGAGCCTGATGATCATGCGGCCAATGCGGCCGAACCTGCGGTCGAGACCCTTCGACAGCTGACCAACACGTTGCTTTCTGAGTTTGAGTCCCGGGCAGGTGTCAAGGTGGCATCGTTGGATGCAATGCACGCATGGGCATGGCGGCATGCAAGCTTCATTCAGCAGCGGTTCACCAGATCGCAAGGCCAGACTCCGTTCGAGCTGGCATGTGGGCGGCCCTATCAGGGCAAGCTTGTGTGCATTGGTGAGACAGTTTATGGAAGAGTTAAAAGTGCTGTGAAGGGACAACCCCGATGGGGCATAGGTTTGTGGTTGGGAAACTTGGGTGTAGCGACGGCCACATAGTCTTCACTGCTTCGGGACATTTTCTTGCTTGCAGGTCGATTCGTCGCTTACCACAAACTTACTTGAGGAGTGCTGATTTTGCTAAGCGCCTGCGTGATCATCCCTATTCCCAGGCAGCTTTTCTTGCGGGCCAAGTTGGACAGTGCAGGCCGCAGAAAACACGTGATGCACAACAAGCACCTCCAGAGCCACAGCCAGATGAGAGTGTCCCGGCCGGTGCGGATCCACTTCCGTATCCTGGCTATGTTCTTCCTGACAATGCACCGCTGAGTGAACTTGTGCCACCACCAGCCATCAGAAGTGATTTTGTGCCAGAGCCACCGCCGCCCATGCAGGAGGACAGTGGACCTGTCACGCCATTGCAGCCAGCACCTTTCGATGCAGAGATTGTGAGTTCGCCCCTGGCTGTAGTGCCAGACGCTGAGGTGTTAGCCGAGGCGCCAAATGCTGATCGTGCCACGGGATCGTCCGATCCTGCTTCTTCGTTTGAGCCAGCGGCTGTACGTGTGCCTACCAGGGCTGCTGAGCCGAGTGCAAACGAGCCACGCAAACGGCTTCGTCTTGACGCTGTGACGTTTGAAGGTGTCGACATGTACCACAACCACGAGGAGAATGATTTTGAATTTGAGGGTGAAATTTTAGAGGATTTTGATTATGCCGCGGAGGCCGATGGGGCCCATGATGACACGCGGCCGGAGTCAAGCATTCCTGAGTGCTTGTTGATCCCTTGGAGTGAGCATGAGCCAGAGCTGAGCGCTGAGCAGCTTGCACATGTAGATGCAGTTGCAATGCAGTTTGAGGTTGATCGTCTCCTTGGGATCCCTGCTCTTGAGCGTTGTGCACAGATCCTGCCAGAGCACAAGCACTTGACCACCCGTTTTGTGGTAACATGGCGCTGCAAGACCATTGCAGGTTGCACATACTGGCTCCGGCGAGCCAGGCTTGTGGCACGTGATTTTGCATTTTTGTGCCCAGGCCGTACCGATCTGTTTTCCCCTGCATCGAATGCTTTGCAAAGCAAGATCATCCCATGTGTCTTCATTGACAACTACCATAACGGTTGGCAGTTGGTATCATTAGATGTTACGGATGCTTACTTGAATTGCCCGCAGGCAGAGGACACATGCACAAGTGTCATGATCAATGGCGAACGCTTGTATTTCAAGCTTCTCAGGCTCCTTCCGGGCCAGCGGGAAGGGAGCCAGACCTGGTTCTACCAGTTCACCGATGCGCTGAAAGTCGGAAGCCGTGTCGAGCTGATGCAAGAGGTGCCATCGCTGTTCCGGTTCCAGCCGGAGGACGGCGGAGGCGGGGGACTTGTGCACGTCGATGATTTGCTTGGCACAGGACCTGCAAGTGTGATCAAGTGCATGACTGATCATCTTGAAAGGGATTACAAAGTGACTGTGAATTTGATTTCGGTGCCAGGCCAAGAGGTTCATTTTCTTAAGAAGCGGCATTATCTTTTGTCGAGCACAGAGTTGCTGATTGAGGCGAGCCCAAAACACTTGGAAAAGTTGAAATCTTTGTGCGGCCATCCCAAGCACCGAAAATCACCTCTCCCGTCCGGGCGGTTGCCCACGGAGAAGGAGGACGATGCACCATTGTCCCAGGATCAGGCATTTCGCTTTCGATCAGCCGTTGGAGTGTTGCTTTATCTGCAGTCAGACCTCCCGCATGCCATGCACAGCATTCGCCACTTGTCAGGCTTTATGTCGTCCCCGACCGTTGGGGCATGGGCAATCCTGCGGCATTTGGTCGGTTACTTGAGTGCCACTGAGGGGTACTGTGCATGCCTTACGGCCGGAGGCATTGGACACGGTGTGCAAGTGCATCGCCCAGGGATCAATGTCATCGAGACGTTTAGTGATGCTGACTGGGGTGGATGCCGATCCACCCGACGCTCTGTCTCGTCGTCTGTGATTCTTTGCAACAGCAAGTTTATCCATGCAGCGTCCAAAACGCAAAAGTCGATTGCACTCTCCAGTGCGGAATCCGAGTTTGGTGCCGCGGTGTCAGCCGCGATAGATGGAACCCTTGTTGCAAGCATGATGCGGTTTGTGTCTCCAGAGCCAACGACACCACCGCTCTTGATGATTGACAATTCCGCTGCCCGCGCGATCCTTCAACGCGCCGGGGTCGGGCGTGTGCGCCATCTTGATGTGAAGTTGCTATGGACGCAACAACGGGTTGCGGAAGGATTGCTGGAGGTGCTGCCGGCACCCACGCGAACTAATGTCGCGGACATTGGCACGAAGCTCCTTGGTGTGCAGCGCACGGAGTTTCTGCTTGGCCTGATTGGGTTTAGAGATTCCCGAAATGGTTATGCTAGGGTTGGAGATGCAATCTTGAGCACAGAGCACAATGTCCAGGCCATTCGCAATGTGTGCAAGGATCTGTCAAAGATCGCAAAGGGTGATGCCACGGCAAACACCGCCCGCATCCTTAGTGTTATCTTGATTGCCATGCAGGCAACTGGAAGCCTGGGTGCAGAGGATGGCGATGATGCCAATGACGACGATGCGACTTTGACCTTTCTTGATGCGATTCTTGAATCCTTGGTGCAGATCGTCGGCTATGCATCCGCAGTGTATGAAACATACCCTTCAACATGTGTTGCGGTGTGCCAGTGCATTGCAATCACTGCATTCTTGATGTGTGCGTTCATGTGTTGTGGCCGACGGATGACAGATGTTCCAGAAGCATCTGTGCAGGTGCGCATCGCGTCTGGAGTTGCGGTAGATGTCCGAACATCCCGCATTGAGCCCAAAGCCAAAGCTGGTGATCAGGTGCGTGGAGCGCGACCCAAAACCGCGAGTCGACCAAAGCTTGATGACGACGATGAGCGAGCCCAGAGTCCTGGTGCGCACGAGGTCCAAACATGCAAACCAGGATTATCCACCGATGTGCTGCGATCGAGCAGCGAGGCCAGTGAGAGGATCCCGAGAGCACGTCCGATTCCACAGCGCCGGGTGCCACAAGCCCGAAGCGCAGACAACGTGTGGATTTCGACAAGTCAGGGATACGCTTATCATAAAGCTGCATGTGGCAAGTTGAACCAATCGCACGGCGTCACTGAGGTGTCGCGAGCAGTTGCTGAGGAGCGCGGCTACCGCGCGTGCCGCATATGCAAACCTTGATGGGTGTGCCGAATTTCTTGTGATGCTGCATCGTACGCTTGATCTTGCTTTATAATGCTCATGAGGCACATTGGATGCCATGTACATAGTCAGTCCTTTGTGCCACGGCACAATTGATTGACAGGCTGCTGGTGGATTCTGTACATAGCTTGACAACGTGCGATGGACGGCTTGAAATCACTTGAATACTGACGTGCAGCATTTTGCTGCTAATCCGAACATTGCCACAATCCCTTGAGCCGTGGAGCGGCTCACAGCTGCGTTGAGGCGCATTTGGCGCCCACGACGGTAACTAGGCCGTCGCAAATCTTGTTTTGCCGATTGGGCGCATGAAGCGCATGAACCATCATGAATCGCCTTCTCTTGTGAACTTGAAGGGCGTCCGCTTGCGCCAGTCAAGCAACTTGTGTCCTCGGCGGCCCACGCCTTGTGATACAAGCATGCGTAGAGTTGTGATTGTACAGATCGTAGGTGTACAAACTTGAGCAAGGCCTTGAGCCGGCTAAACCGAGCCCAACACGTAATCTTGATTGACAAAGTCATGAAAACATGTGCACTGGAGCGTGTTTAAACATCGTACAAGCTGTTGATTCATACTTCGAGGAATCGTTCATGGACAGTCTGCCCATTCGCCAATGGAACAGCCTGAGGCGGGGTACGAACGATTTTCCTGTATTCGTTGGCATGGTTTTACATTGATTTCATCATGCATTTTACTTTCGCTCCTTTAGTCGTGCACATGGTGATTCCGATATACCTGAAGGCTTTTGTTGCTCGAGGATAGCAAGTTCGTATGTTTCCTTTTGCTTGCATCATGTACATTCAGCCCCCAGAGCACCTTGCGTCACAAGTTGATGGTCGATACGACATTGGTGCCTATCTCGGCCCTGTGATTGGTGGGCAAGGGCATCACTGCATGATCAGACTCTCGAATGGGTCTATGAAAAGATGCGTCGCTCGGGCTCTCAAGATGGCCTACCCAGTGACATTTTCATCGAACTTGTTACCCACTATCGCCGAGGCTAATCCTGATGAGCCTGATTATGAAAGCCTTCCGGGGGTAGCCCTACCGAGGAAAGCAATCCCGTTGCCGCAACCGGCGCCTGAATGGCTTGAAAACAACAAAACGGCACGTTGTCCGGGATGCTTAGGTAGATCACGCTTCCACTCTAGGCGTTGCAAAGTTCGCTTTCGTGATTACATCAGGGATACGCTCGGTGATCTTGACAATCCGGAACAGCAACAAGCCCCTGACAAGCCTCAAGTAAAAATCAACCCGAATCCTGAAGTCGTGGAGTTTGAACAAGAGAGCTTGGATTACGAGCCCAGCCTTCCTGGGTCTCCTGTTCCTGAGGATCTGCAGCACTTGGTGCCTGAACCCTCACAGGCAGGCCAAGACCTTGAGCTCCCTCAGGAGTATCTCCCTGGAGGAGACGTTGAAATGGATCAGGTTGATATGGATGACTACACCGTGCCCATGGATGTAGCTCAGGTCCCGGATGTTCTTGACAGTACGAGCATGCCTCAGTTCATGTTCTCAGTGATTCCGGACCAGAAGCATCACCTGAGTCCTGTTGATTACGGTGAGGTTGGCTTGTTTGCTGCAGCTCAAGAGAAAAGCGCCCGCTCAGCACAGTAATCCCGATGAGGGGGTGACCATGCCTTTCGGCGATCGGGAGGTGTGGGTCATCAAGCCCACTTCTGTGGTTGATGATGTTAGTGGCTTGCCTTTGGATCCTGAGAAGACGTGGGTTGGAATGCAGAAAGAGGTGTCTGCCATGCACAACTTGGGTGTCGGCAACGCACGCACCTATGATGAAATTAAAACCCACTGCCAGGAAACAGGTGCCAAGATCATTAAGTCGCGTTTTGTCTTCACTGACAAGGTTGATGTTGACGACCAGCACATTGTGCGTGCTCGCCTTGTTGCAAAAGACTTTGCTTTCAATCAACCATCCGCGCTTGACTTGGGCATTGCGAGCCAGACTGCTTCTGTGGAGGCCTTCAAGGCTTTCATCTGCCGTGTTGTCCAGGATACGCTTGTCCTCTGGGGACTTGATGTTTCGACTGCCTTCTTGTATGCCAAGTTGGTTCTTGATACCGTGCTTGAGTTGCCGGGATGTTTTCAGAACCTTGACGGCTCTAAGGTTTATGTCATCCTGGAGAAGGCCATATATGGCTTGAGATCGGCAGGCCTTTCATGGCAGAAGCACCTTGCTGGACTTCTTGCTGAGTTGGGGTTGTTTCCTTCGCTTATAGAACCTACGTTGTACAAAGGGTATTGGGGAGACATCCTTGTGCTTTGTCTTGTGTACGTCGACGACATCTTGCTAGCCACAAGAACCAAAGAGGCAAACCAACAGCTTCTAGACTTTCTCATGGGCCGTCTTAAGGTCAAGCTGACCGGACGCTTGGATGAGGACGGCAGGATTGGATTCCTAGGTCGTGAGATAATCAAGCGTGGCCATGAGATCTTGTTGGCTGTGAAGAAAGAATACGTCGATTCGATCTTTGAGGCTTTTGGTTGGAACCAAGAGAGCCGCAGGAAGATGAAGCCCTGCACCGCTCCACCAGACCTCCGATCGATCCTTGACAAGGAAGACCCCGAGAAGCCCTCCGAAGAGCTATCCCCTGAAGCCGCGAGCCGTTTTAGGAGCACCCTAGGGAAACTAGGATGGCTTGTGCAAACCAGGGGAGATTTGTGTTATTTTCACTCCATGTTGTCTAGAGGTCAAGCTTGTCCGCGCGCTGTGCATGAGGATTGTATGCGTAAAGTGCTCCGTTGGCTGTTGGAGGTTCCCGACCTTGTTCAGGTCTTTCAAAAGGAATCCAAAGCCCAACCGGGAGCTGCAACCCTTGTTGGATTCAGCGACGCTAATTGGGCCTCTGAGCGCTCTACTGGACGAAAGAGCACCAGCGGAGGAGTGATTTACCTGAATGGGAACTGTATCAAGACTTACTCGAGGCTCCAGCCTATTGTAGCACTCTCCAGTGCGGAGTCTGAGCTTTTCGCTATGGTTGAGATGGCGCGCGAGCTTGTAGGATTGGGGCAGCTTTTGGGCCACCTTTTCGAGAGCGTCGCGCAGCCCCTATACCTGCCTACGGATAGCTCTTCCGCTCGCCAGGTCAGTATGATGTCCGGCTTCCTGAGGAGGATGCGTCATGTGGACCTCCGTCTTTGCTACTTGCAGGATAAGGTCGAGAACGGCGAGATCCTTGTTACACACGTCCCAGGGACGGACAACGTCGCCGACTTGCAAACAAAGAACTTGAGTGTCGCGCAAACTTGGTACCACATAGGACAGTTATGTCTTGAGGAACGTCTCACCCGTAGTGACTATCTTCGAGGTGATGCGCCCCCAGTCCGTTGCCTTGTGTTTGCCGCGTTCAAAGGTTTGTTTTCTGCAAGCGTCGATGATCCTTGGAGTGTGTTGGTTGGTCGTTGTAGGTTGCAGACACCGCATTACATTGTGATGGTCGAGTTCTGCACTTCTGGAGAAGCCTGGTTGACTAAGCTTGCTAGCCATTATGGCATCCATGCTATTCCCGTGACGGAAGAAACGGATGGTACTCTCCCAGAGACCATCGAGCTCATTGAGCACGCCCTTCGTGCGGCACACCGTCGGAACATGCATGTTGTTGTGTGGGCCTCGACGCCCTGTACCGGTGGTTCGCCCTGGCAGCGCTACCACCAAGCTCGATCTGCAGATCACTATGATGAAAGGATGAAAGGACTTTTCACAGTCCACCGAAAGCTCTGGAAGAGCTTCTTGAAGCTAGTCAACACATCTGATTCGGCAACTTGGGTCATTGAGTGGCCGCAACGTTGTGCTTACTGGGGATGGTCCGCTACGAAGTCATTCCTTAAGATCAATCCGCATGAGACCGCTCTTGTGCATGGTTGTGCTTGCGGCATGGTTGGAATGGACGCACTTCCAGTGAAGAAGGTTTGGAGGTTGTGCTCGAACAGTCATGTTCTCATTCACTGCATGGATAAATTAAAGTGTCCTGGAAACCACGAACACAGTAAGATGTTCGTTCTGAAGAACACCCAGCACTACCCCGAAGCTTTTGCTCACACAGCTCTTAGGGCTTTGAGTGCTTGGTAGGTGCTGACGCCTCTTTGTACAGCCGCAGCCGTTTTTTGGAAGAGCCATAAAGCTACCGTGGACCGTGAGAAGATCGACGAGCCCAATACGCAACAGCAGCCACTGGACCGGTACCTTTTCTCGACGACAGGTTCATGAGGGGGAGTTGATTTTCAATCCAGTGCTACTCGTACCTGGTTTTGCTAACCCTCCATGTCTGAGCCTTCTCGCAGCTTTTGGCTCCAAGATGGGTAAAGGAAAAGGGAAGAACAAGCCAGGGAAGGGGCAGAATGCCCCTTTCGAGGACCCGGTAACGGAACAGCGGTACCAGGCCCTCTTGCAGCATCGTTTTAGTGAGGGCAAACCTGCTATTTCGAGATCAAGGTACTCCAGGCAAAGCCAGCATTCAGGTACCGACCGGGAACCTCCGGCTTCTGGTCCCAACTTGTCAAGGTCGGTGGAGGCCCCTATCACGAGGCCAAAAGCCGCACCCAAGCCGGGGGTAGCCCGAACCCCACCACCACCACCGCCAAAGCGGCAACGCACAGAGGCCCAGGCTGAGGAGGCCTCGCCAAGAGCCTCCGGTTCCAATCTGCAGGCTGAGGTGCCCTCGCCTTCCAATGCTGATGAACCAGGCCTAGCCTCCACAACCCAGGTTGAGCAGGTCTCGCCTGCACCAACCTCTCCTTTGGGGCCTGAGCAGGATGAGGTGCTGACCTCTCCTAAGCAGGAACCTGCCCAGAGTTCTCAGACTGAGGTCCCTTCACCGGCAACCAAGCCGGATACAGATGCTGGTGATCCAGGCCCGGCCGCCACAACCCAGGGGGTCTCGCCTGAACCGGCCTCTCCCTTGGAGCATGAGCAGGAAGAGGTACTGACCTCTCCTAAGCAGGAGCCTGCCCAAAGTTCCCA